GGCCCTAACCCTAAGGCCCCAAACAGAACCTAGGGCCTAAACCAAACCTCTGGCCTAACCCTAACCCAAGCCTAACCTTAGCCCTAAACCTAACCTTGAACCCTAAACCTAAACTTAACCCTAATCCTAGCCCTAAACTTAACCCTAAACCTAACCTTAGCCCTAAACCTAACCTTAACCCTAAAACCTAAACCTAACCTTAGCCCTAAACCTAACCTTAACCCTAATCCTAGCCCTAAACCTAACCCTAATACCTAACCTTAACCCTAATCCTAGCCCTAAACCTAACCCTAATACCTAACCTTAACCCTAGCCTTAGCCCTAAACCTAACCCTAAACCCTAATACCTAACCCTAGCCTTAGCCCTAAACCTAACCTTAACCCTATACTTAGCCCTAAACCTAACCTTATGGCCTTAAGCCTAAGCATAGCATTGGCCCTAACCCTAAGGCCCCAAACAGAACCTAGGGCCTAAACCAAACCTCTGGCCTAACCCTAACCCAAGCCTAACCATAAGTCTACCTTGGGCCTGAACCTGATCTTAAGCCTAAGTACAGCACTAGCCCTAACTCTAAAACCCCCAAAGATAACCTAGGGCCTAAACCAAACCTCTACCCTAACTCTCTCCCCCCCCCCACCCAATCTGTGGTTGGGGGCCAAACAACGGGGCCCCCCACCTTAACCAGGGGTGGACTCCAAACTATAACTTGGGACTACAAGCCCAAATTTGGAGCCCACTATTCGTCCCTTGGGGGAGAATGGTGCGAGTGACTCCCTGTCATAGGGAGCCATTATATCAAATAAGCCAACAAAACCAGGAACCACACCAAAATGAACAAAAGTCTAGATGATGGTAGATTCTCAAGGAATGCTGGGAGTCTTCCCAATATGCAAATGGTCACAAAACCAAATCTTCAAACGCTAATAACTCCAAAACGATGCCATTTACGGACACGGGGTTTTTTGCTAATAAAAGCTGGTACTCTGAAGAACAATTCTACAACATAAAAATACAAGAGTTCACCGCGATGGATTTTACCACAGCCAAGATCCAAATCCCCCAGAAAACCACAATGCTGATAGATGGGGTGAGCGCCTCTGGTAGAAGCTTGACGAATCCCTGCACCTAAACGGTGGAGGGACCAGTCCGCCATTGGTGTACAACCCCAAATAGGGGATCCAAAGCGGTAGAAGCTTGGTATCTTTCCGGAAATATTTCAGCGTTGGACCACACCGGCCTGGAATTCGAAGGAAAGCTATCCGCCGGCTTGGACCTCCGCCCAAGACTGTCTGGGAGGTGACGTATTGCACGGGACCTACCTTCCCGGGTCTTGGAGTCAGCCACCTGGCAACGGGTGGTTGGGGCACGGTTTCCGGTCCTGGTTTTCTACCCGTCGCTCGGGGAGACTAACTGGGATAGGCCCAAATTCTCAGACCTTGTCTGGCTGACCTGGGCAACCTAGCGGTGTTAACGAAGGGTCAGTTGGGCAAGGGGTAAGTATTCAGCCTCTCTGGGTCCACTAGGACAGCACGCAGGGAAGGTGGTCTGGGGCAAACAGATCTTAAATGAGCGCCCAGTCTTCTATCAGCACACACACCACAGTTAACAATAAAAAATCCAACTTTGTAAAAAGCAAAAAAGGCTAAAAATAGCGTTCTTAAAAATACAACAGCATTTATCTATAAAACCACTGCATTAGCTTTTATACAATATAATACTTTAAAAATAAATAACTGATTTGGGCATGGGACACAAGCCTGGGCTTGATCAACCTATGGCTGGCCGCCTCAGATGAGGGTGTATAGTGTTTAAAGGCCGAAACACCTGATGACTCTGGGGTACACTACTGATGATGTGTCCTAAAATTCCTAAAATTCATTAATCTACTCTACCACACCTGTTCGTTCTCTGACTTGCGGTCGTGGGAAGGAGAATGAATAGGTGAAAAACATAGGCCAAGCCAGGTCTTGAGGGTGCCCTGCTCAGTCTAGTGGCGCATCCCTCTCTTCACCTCTTTGTTCTTTGCCTTGCGATGCAGTTGGAAGAATCAAACATGAATCAAACATAAATACAAACCTAATGCAACTGTCAACTTGCAACAATTTTCCAATAAATTAATAAATAAAAGGAAATTTACTCCTGGACAGAGGGACTGGAAGGCCCGATGGCATTGCTTAACAAGCGGCGGCCCGTGCATTACCCTTGATCTTCCTATCCAACCACAATTGTCTGATGACAGTTGATGGGGGAAGTCATTGTATGTTCCCCTAACCTAACCCTAACCCTAACCCTAACCTAACCCTAACCCTAACCCCTAACCCTAAACCCTAATACCTAAACCTAACCTTAGCCCTAAACCTAAACCTAAACACTAAAGCCTAACACTTACCTTGGCTCTAAACCTAACCTTAGCTCTAAATCTAACCTTAAACCCTACCCTAAAAGCCCAACCATAACCTAGGGCCTAAACCAAACCTCTGGCCTGGCCTTAACCCAATCCTAAGCATAAGCCCACCTTGAGTCTAAAACATGGCCTTAAGCCTAAGCATAGCATTGACCCTAACCATAAGGCCCCAAACAGAACCTAGGGCCTAAACCAAACCTCTGGCCTAGCCCTAACCCAAGCCTAACCATAAGTCTACCTTGGGCCTGAACCTGATGTTAAGCCTAAGTACAGCACTAGCCCTAACTCTAAAACCCCAAACATAACCTAGGGCCTAAACCAAACCTCTACCCTAACTCCCCCCCACCCAATCTGTGTGTGCGAGTTGCTTCCTGTCATAGGGAGCCATTCTATCAAATAAGCCAACAAAACCAGGACCTTGTCTGGCTGACTTGGGCAACCTAGCGGTGTTAACGAAGGGTCAGTTGGGCAAGGGGTAAGTATTCAGCCTCTCTGGGTCCACTAGGACAGCACGCAGGAAAGGTGGTCTGGGGCAAACAGATCTTAAATTAATGCCCAGTCTTCTATCAGCACACACCACACCACAGAACATGTGGCAGTTTACAATTAAAATTCACCTTTATAAAGACAAAAGCTAAAAATAGCATTCTCAAAAATACAACAGCATTTGTCAAAAAAAATGCATTAGCTTATACAATATAATACCTCAAAATTAAATTATTGATTTGGGCATGAGACACAAGCCTGGGCTTGATCAACCTATGGCTTGCCGCCTCAGATAAGGGTGTATAGTGTTTAAAGGCCGAAACACCCGATGACTCTGGGGTACACTACTGATGATGTGTCCTAAAATTCATTAATATACTGTATCACACCTGTTCTCTGACTTGCTGTTGTGGGAAGGAGAATGAATAGGTGAAAAACATAGGCTAAGCCAGGCCTTGAGGGTGCCCTGCTCAGTCTAGTGGCGCATCCCTCTCTTCACCTGTTTGTTCTTTGCCTCGCGATGTGTTTGGAAAAATTAAATATAAATACAACTACATCTACTAGGAACAATTTTCAAAAAATAATAATAATAACAATAATAATTATTAATAATAATAATAATAATAATAATAATAATAATAATAATAAAAATAAATAAATAACCCAAACCCTAACCCCCCAAACATGACCTAGGGCCTAAACTAAACACCTGGCCTAACTCTAACCCAATCCTAAGCGTAAGCCCACCTTGAGCCTAAAACATGATCTTAAGAGACAGAGTTAAATGTGTGTCTGTTTATTAGGAGGAATAACATTGGCATGCTCAGCTAAAGCATTTGGGAAATGGAGACTGAAACTGTGGAGCAATGACACTCTGATAAACAGCAGGGGGTGCTCTCACAGTATTCACAACTTACAGTTTATCACACTTTAGTTCTGTTTGGCCTTTTTTAAGACTAACCCTAAATTAAGATCAGATTTGATTCTGTAATATGAATCTGTGAATAATCTGATTTTGACCTGTCAGATCTGAACTCAGTACTATAGAGAGGAAGTTTCTGTGATATGGACTCTAAAACTCCACATATTCAGTTCCAGGACTGAGCACTGGATCTTAAGAACAAAAATCAGGCACCTTAAACAGTCTTCCTGATCAGCTGCAAGTGTCAGTAATTATCTGAAGGTGACATTGTCACACCTGAGGCCTCCTGATTCAGTGCAGCATGATGTGAATTAAAATCTGTTTACAGTTAAATGTCTGTGAATTTTTTTTTATTCTGAACATTTACAGTTACATCAGTTGGGCAGGTAAACAAGTAAACAGCCAGGCTGTACAAGCAGCTTCTCTCACAGCAGATAAACAACCACTCTCTAGAGAACAACACACACACACACTCAGTACATTCCCTGAAGAGTGCATGCACACACACACACAGAGATCTCATTCACAAAACAAGGATGGCTGTACCACTGTAACGCTTTCTAACAGACCGCTGTACAGTAGTAAGAATAATAACAATAATAATAGTAATAATAATACTCCTGCTAAACTGCAGTGTGAAGGACATTTAGACAGAATGAAACGATTCTCTTTCTATTTTTTTGGAATTTCTTCAGTGATTTCCTGCTCGGTAAGTGAATAAAAACTGAAAATATTAACAGTAGTTCAGTGATTCTTTGATGGATGTTTATGTGTCATCGATTTGGAGTGATTTAAATAATGAATTATTTATGCAGAACTTCCTGTGATCAGTTTCTCTCTGAGATGCAGAAACAGGAACTCGTTCAGACTGACAGATTAAAGGATCAGCCACATACAGGTGGTCTCTGATCCAGCTGAGCTTTAAGACCAACTTTAAACTCCAGGTGAGAACCAACTTTTTTTTAGCTGTAGGAAAGCCTTACAGATCTGTTGTTACATTAAGGTATATTAATATTAATGTTGTATTTTTTATATAAAGGAAAATATCGTTGAGAAGATAGATTAAATCTGCAGATTGTGTTTATGGGAAACTGACTGTAATGTTTTTGTGCTGATTGTTATCATGACAGATCACAGAATGCCATTAGCTTCCTTGCAGAATGCTGTTAGCATTAGCAACACTCTTGATGGTCCAGCGCCCCCAAATGGTCATTGTGTTCATACTGGGCGGTTCCATCATCATCTTCTTCATGTACCTGAAACCGACCATTCACTCTCAAACTGCCCAAAGCTTTAACGATCTTATTAATGAGGTAATTCCAGATTCCTTCCGTCAACAAACTGATCATATAGTGCTGGTTGTTGTCGCTCCTGCATGCCCCACTCTCCACTCTCTCTGGGTGGGAACTCTGGTCCTCCTCCCCATCACCTCAGTGTGCTGCTTATCAAAGTGAGCATTTGTTAGCTAATGCAACAGAATTAGCAGTTAGCGTTCTCCTCCAAGCATGTTGAGTTAGAAACAACTCAAAATGATGCCATGGAACTTCATATGACTTTGAGGAAGAACATGCTGGCCTTCACTCTTCTAGTGCTGGCAGCACTGTGTGATTGGAGGAGACCAAGTAAGTAGGTGGAATTGGACATGATGACAGGAAATTGGAAAAAAAAATGTTGGATGTTTTTGAAAATGCAAAAAAAAAATATGTATCTACTCTTCTCAGGTTAAGACCTCCAGGGGACTAAACCAAGACCAGGCAGGGCTAAACACAGACTGGGAGGGGCCTAACCCAAAGAAGGCGGGGCCAATCACAGACCGATTAGGGCCAAAGCAGGCAGGGCGAAACCAAGAGCATGTGGAGTTAAACACTGAACAGATGGAGTTACTTCCTAAAAGGGCAGAGCTACACCCTGAACAGGCGGAGTTTAACTCTAAAAGGGCGGAGCCAAACCCTGAACAGGCAGATTTAAACTATAAAAGGGCGGAACTAAACACTGAACAGGCGGAGTCAAACTCTAAAAGGGCGGAGCCAAACCGTGAACAGGCAAATTTAAACCCTGAATGGGTAGAGTTCAACACTGAACAGGTGGAGTTAATCCCTAAAAGGGTGGAGCTAAATGGTGAACAGGCTAATTTAAACCCTGAACGGGCGGAGTTAAACCCAGAGCAGGCAGAGCTGAACCCTGAACGGGCAGAGCTAAATGATGAACAGGCAGATTTAAACCCTGAACAGGTGGAGTTAATCCCTAAAAGGGTGGGGCTAAACCCTGAGCAGGCGGAGTTGAACCCGCAGCTGACAGTGGTTCTGGTGTGGCTGTGGCCGTTCGGTCAGTCGTTTGAGCTGGACGTCTGCAGCAGTTTGTTCAGAATTGAGGGCTGTTTATTAACGGCGGACCGTGAGCTGTTTAACCGCTCGGCCGGAGTGGTCATCCACCACCGTGACATCAGCCCAGATTTATCTAACCTGCCCCGTCTCCCCCGCCCCGCCCACCAGAAGTGGATCTGGATGAACCTGGAGTCGCCCTCACATTCACCCAGAATTCCCGGGCTGGAGAAGCTCTTCAATGTGACGCTGAGTTACCGCGCCGACGCCGATATCTACGTTCCGTATGGCTCCGTCATCTTCAAACAGGAAGAGGAAGAGTTTATTTTAGCGAATAAAACCGAGCTGGTGTGCTGGATAGTCAGTAACTGGAACCCGAATCACGCGCGGGTGAGATATTACAGTGAGCTGCGTAAACACGTCCGCGTCCACGCGCTCGGTCACGCCTTCGGTCACTCAGTCTCCAGTGAAGATTTATCCTCCACTATAGCCAGCTGTAAATTCTACCTGGCCTTCGAAAACTCCGCCCACAGAGATTACATCACCGAGAAACTGTTTAGAGCTTTAGCTTTTGGCTCCGTGCCAATCGCCCTGGGCACGTCCCGGAAAAACTACGAGAACTTCGTACCCGGAGACGCTTTCATTCATGTTGACGATTTTCTGTCCCCGAAAGATCTGGCTGACCACCTGCAGCTGCTGGACAAAACTAACGAACTCTACTTGCGTTACTTCGTCTGGAGGCGAGATTTTACCGTGAAAATGTCCCATTTCTGGGCCGAACACACCTGTCGCACCTGCGAATACCTAAAAAATCACAAAGAGTTCAAAACCTTTAATCACCTTGACACCTGGTTTTGGGATTAACACACACATCAGCCTGTAACCATGGCAACCTTCAAAGCAAATAGTTCAGATCTTATTCGATCATCCAGTTACATTGAACAAATTGATTTAATTAAAACAAAAGAGAAGAAAATAGTTTTCTTTGTTTGATTAATGAAGTTTTATTAGTGCTCTGAATCAGGAAGTTCTGATTCTGAAAGTTTTTAAATGTTTTTTATTTTTTTTTATTTTAAGTGTTTTTACTCAAAGAAAACATGTTTTAATGGTATTTTACTGAATTTAAACACTTTTAGAATTTTACAGATTTTTTTTCTGCATCATTTGTGTTCCTTTTTGTGTATTTATTTATTTACTATTTTAAATTTCTTTCACTAATAAAAAAGATCAATCTACAGAATTAAATAATTGTATGAAGAATTCTGTTATGTAGGAATGTTATACTTATAATGTTTTAATGTTAAAATTATATTATATTAAAGTAAAATCTGCAGTCTTTATTTATCTATTTATTTATTTTAATATAATATTTGTGCCCTGGTGTGTTATTGAGGTGATTATAGAAAACAAAAGCACTGTTTAATTTGTGTTATACTTATTTTACATTTATTATTCAATTTATAATTTGATTTAAATATAATAATTACATTTGAAATTAAATGCACTATTTCTGTTTCAGATGCAGCATATTTGTTGACATATTTACTACATTTATCAGAATTACTAACGATAAGAATAAAAAACAAACTCCTATATTTAAAAAAAAAAACAAATAAATCAATAAAGCTGCTGTATTTGTGAGCTGTGGCTCATATTAAAGAACAGAACAGGGTTTAAATACATGCTGAGCGTTTTTCATTTTAAATTTATTTATTACTGCGCAGGAAAATGTGGGCAGAAATCCAGGGTTGGGGATTTGTGTCCCTGCCGGCTCGCCGTACTGCGCGCTCCGAACGCTGACGTGGGGGCTGGTGACGGGGCGCGTTCCAATCCGCGCTGCGCACTGCTGCTTAACTAGCGCAGATCCTGAACTGCCCTCGCGGTCCAGTGACGGTTCCGTTTAGAGCACTGAAGGCACAGTTTGAGCGCTAGAATTAGATTCAGGGCTAGAACGACGGAGTTAAAGCTAGAACAACGGAGTAAAGCTAGAACACTAGTTGTAGTTAGACCACTAGAGCACATATCAGGACGCGCCCGAGTTTAGCGTTACAGTGAGTGTTAGGTTCGGGCTTGGGCTCGTTAAACTGGACCCAGCAAAGCCGGACAAGCCCAGCACGGCCGGACCTGCACAGCTGTCCCACAGAAGCACCTTTCTCAGTTTAACCCGCCGGAGCTGCACTGATGGCGGACTGGGAGGAGATCAGGAGACTCGCCGCCGACTTTCAGAGAGCGCAGTTCGCAGATTCAGCGCAGCGGTGAGAAAAAAACACGCAGATCATCAGAGTTTAACTGGGTTAACTGGTTTCTAATGGGCTGTTTTACTGCAGCAGATTATTAATAAACAGAAGTGTGAACTGTGCGCTTACGGCTACTGTTAGCTTTAGCTTCGAAGCCCAAGTTGGTTTCTGATTCGCCTTCTCATTCGAATTTTCCGTTCCACCTTAAATGCCGAGGTACCAGAATGTAACTGCTGGAGCATTTAAGGTGGAACGGAAAATTCCGTAATTCAGATGTTCTTTTCTGCACGTTCTGCATCAGTGCTGCTAGTGATGATTATTACACTACAATATAACGTTATATTATTTAATAATCCATACAGGAATCTGATAATCGGGTTTCAGATATGTGACATATTATCATAGATTAATTTGTCTTGTATCCAACCCATTGGTCATATATGTGACACAGAGCCGGAAGATTAATTGTTTTAATATTGAAATCACAATTTGAGTGCAGTAAAGCAGTGATGTCAGTTTTTACAGCTCTACATTATCAAAACGCTGTCTTTAGTTTTAACTTTAAGACTTCGAACTTTATAACTCAGAGCTTCTGAACTGCCTGTAGATAAACTAGACCTATCAGAGGCAACCAAACCTTCATGTGTTGTCTCATCACAACTACAACTAACTGGCAGACTGGCGCTGCGCTCAGGGGTCAAGCCTCAGCAGAAAAAGTGGATATTTTGGTCTTTGTGGCAAAAAAACAGGCCTGAATCTCAATTTATATAAAATAATCATAATTTAAATTTAATTTGCAATATTAGTCAGAAAAATCACAATTAGATATTTTCCCCAAATTGTTCAGCCTTAATGTGACACATTTTAGTTCATATGAAATTGGCCATTTTTTAAAATATGGGACATATATTTCAGCCATGCATCAATACCCCATACAGCATCATACACAGAGTATACGACAGGAAATATTACTCATGTCGGAGCTTCATGTTATACAATATAAGGTTTTTAGTTTTTTTCACACGTCTTAATAAAGTGGACATTTTTGTAGTGGCTGCAGAACTAAACTCTAAATACAAGCTCTGCAGTAAAAGCATTAAACTATGAAATTGATGAAAATATTGTCTCCTGACACATTTAAATAAATATTCATGTGTAATAATATACCATGTTATGCTTTATGGTATATTGTTCGATTGTGTAGTTTGTATATAGGTTGTGAGTGTTCAGTCCAGTAATGATGAGGTTTTGTACGCAGAATTTGTCATTTGAGATTTTTGGGGCAGATCAGCATTTTCTGTTCCTAGCTCAGAGAAGAAGAAAAGTTGTCCCAGCTGACTGACTGAATTTGGGGGATTATCCTTTTTATTGGTAGACCTTTATTTGCCTGTACAGACCCTGAATGACAACAGATACCTTTATTAGGGTGTGTGTGTGTGTGTGTGTGTGTGTGTGTGGTGTGTTTGTATTGTGTATGGTGTGTGTATGTGCTGTGTGTGTGTGTGTGTGTGTGTGTGTATGTGCTGTGTGTGTGTGTGTGTATGTGCTGTGTGTGTGTTGTGTATGTGCTGTGTGTGTGTTTGTGTGTGTGTGTGTTTCAGGCTCTCTGAGAGGAACTGTATTGAAATCGTAGCGAACCTGGTTCTGGAGAAGAAGCTGGACGTGGTTCACACTCTGGATGGTAAAGAGTACATCACCCCCCCTCAAATCAGCCGCGAGATCAGAGACGAGCTCTACACACATGGAGGTAAACAGGGGGACGGGGGGAGTCGGGGGGGTCTTGATAACCGATTCTTTCCTACCTTTTGATAAAAGAACCTGTAATGAATCACATCGAACCCTGCATTCACACCAGCAGGTAGCACGTTGTGCACGTTGCCCCGAGTTTGTCTCGTGCGGGTCCGAGGATTCTCGCACTGTTTAATATTTTTTCTAAAAATCGTTATTGAATGTGTATCTTTAATTAAATTTTAATTGAATTAAATCATTAAAATAAATTAATTTAAATTAGTTGTGCTTAAAAGTGTAAATGATAAGTTTTACGGTCAGTTCTGTTCCCAACTAAAATAAAGATATTTGGAGGGAAATAAGCCGTATAGGTACGAGACCCAGTCAGGCGGTGCCTGGATCGATGGAGTGGATTATATATTTTAGTTGTTGACTCTGTATTTCAATGCTAGGCCTCTGAGATCCTCCAGTCAAGGGTTCTTAGTGTTCTCAGGGACTAAGTGGAACTGAAAGAGTGACGGTGCTTTTGCAGTTCTCTCTTAGAAATCAGACTCACTGGGTCTAAACAGCTGTTTAAAAAAGGCTTTCAATGTTCAGCAAGTCTGACATTAACGTTGTGTTCTTCGTTTAAAGGGAGGATCAACATTGTGGAACTCCAGAAGGTCAGTTTTTATTCGGATGTTGTGATTATTTTGATCTATTTGAGTGTCAGTTTGAAGATTGTAAGCAGCTTCTTTTCTGATTCTGTTTGTGATTTTTCTGACAGATTATTAATGTTGACCTGGTTCACATAGAGAAACAAGCAAACGACGTTTCCAAACAGGACCGAGGAACTCGCCTGATTCTGGGACAACTCATAGACGAGTGAGGGGGCTTTACACTAGAGTCGCTCGTAGACGAGCGGGGGGGGGGTTACTTAGAGCCGCAGTTTGTTTGTTTGTTTGTGTGTTTGTTTATTTAGTGGGTTGCTGAACAGCGTTTTGAATCTGTTTCATGTCATCATGCAGGTAAATCTGTATGTGAACGTGTTTTTAAATCGTCTCCTGCAGGAAGTATCTGGACCAGCTTGCAGAAGAAGTGAATGATAAACTGCAGGAAGTGGGTCAGATCAACATCGCAGAACTCTGTAAAACCTACGACCTGCCAGGAGAGTTTTTAACCGAGGTGAATTGACGCTCACTGTGTTTCTACCCTGTATCACTGCTATCAGGGAATGATGTCACAAATTAGACTGTGTTAGCATCGCTGCTAATGATGCTAACGTTAGCTGTCGTCAGTGAATAATAATCTTTATTAATTATTACTTTAAGTTTTTTCTGAAAGTCAGTTTTTCAGTAGCTGCAGCTCAAAACACGGTGCTGTAATATTTGGAGTAGAAGCTCCTCAATAATACAAAGTACAGAGCTTCGCTTATTACGACCATAATGATGTTAATTATAATAATTATAATAATCTCTCTCTCTCTCTCTCTCTCTCTCTCTCAGGAGCTGTATGGGCGAGTTGGGCGAGTGATTGATGGTCAGGTGGACGAGTTTAAACGAGGTGTGATCTTCACTCAGGCTTTCATCAGCCGACACACAGCCCGAATACGGGGGCTCTTCAGCGCCCTCACCAGGTCAGATGTTTATATATTCAGTGAAAAAGTACATTTTAAAATTTAAAGCTAACTTTATTTGCCTTTAATCTGTTGTAAAATGTTTGTAAAGTTCTGACAACTCTGCAATTTGTTTATGAACTGAATTACACTAACAAGCACTACACGTTGGTTTGTTTGTTTGTTTTAGGCCTACACCAGTCAGCACTCTGATCACTCTTTACGGCTTTCAGGAGAATCTGTTATACTGTGAGTATCTGGTGATAATGTACAGTTAAAGTTCAGATCCTGTAGCCAAAGGTTCCTGAATCTGCTCCAGTGTGCAGGTTCTCCAGGACCAGGATTGGGTTCCACTGCAGTGTCCAATAAAA